CAAAAGTTTCACACGCTTCCCCCGAGATTCCCAGCCAGGTTGCCGCTCCTCTCCTCATTTTCGTTGAAACCACCGCCATGAACCGATCGAAAGACCACTTGCCCATCCGTCGCGCTACCTCAAGTTTGGTCAGCCACTGCTTAGCCTCTAGCGCACTGCCCCCAATGAACAGAGGCACGGATCCGGCCGTTTCCGGGTTTGACTCCACCGACCTGATTTCCGTCGCATCCTCCCTTTTGATCGCCTGCATCACTTGAGCCACCACTTCTCCAATCATTCTTGCATCCATCGCGCCAGCTTCTCGTTTGGTTCCGTCCGAACCCTGATACGACATTGGTTTCCTAGCTCCACTTCCCAAGATCTTCGCCGCAAATCCCACCGCTGCAAATATCGGGGACTATCTTCCTGGGATACGGCAAGTGAAGACCTCGCTAATATCGAACCAACTGGTGACACTTCTAGTTTAGTTGCACACTCTCAATGACCGCCACAGCCGACACCTCGTCGCTGTGCGACCGTCCTCTCCGACTACTCGTCACAAACTGTACACCTCGCACATCTGAACGTCCGTCTTACACCTCAATCGTCAAACGTCCATCTACACGACATTTCGACCTCGACAATACTGACGCTCGATGAAACTCCTCGCTCCCAGTACAAACTCGACTATATCACACTCGATTATATCACCCTAAAAATTTTGAAACTCGACTATATCGCCTAATTCGTGTTCAAAAATCATCACCCCCTATAATAAAAGCGTGATATCTGTCTGTCAGTCAGTGCGTCCCTTATATACTATTTCGCTTCACACACTCAAGCGCACAGGTCGAAAAGTTGTTTTCATACGCTTCGATGATTGCCGCCCCGCGGGCACGACGTCTTACGGGGGGGTTATAGCCCCATACAGCGCCGAGGTGGATACGCTACTGCAAGCTCCGGGTATCGGACAGTTAGATCATTCGCAGCCGGTCCCCCTTTTCTGAGAGCGATTCTTTCGTCCCCCGGAAATGTAGAGGCTTCGTGGGAGGGGGACGACGAGTACAAGATGATACGCCTCGCTGTCATCGCATTGAAGGTGCTGATCAGTCTTGAGCTGAAATGCAGATCATAGGATCCCATCGAAGACTCACCGAAAAGCTGCAGGGGCTGGTGCGTGCATTTTCTGCCAGCGGAGTGTCTGCGGCTCGAAAATCCTACAGCGTCGCTTCGGCAATGCGCTCGCGGAGTACTGGACGCGCCGAGCAACCGACCGCCTCGCCGGATTTCTGATCAGAACTCTAATGATATCCGAAAACGCTCCCGATCTAGAACATCGAGACGCATGATCAGCAGCCGAGACTAACACCTAGTCGATATCGGTCTCCATTGTTTGACCGACGGAGCGTTGCTCGCGAAGGAGATCAGTTTTCGGCATGTGGTAGTATGAGTATATCGCTATTACTTCATATTATGATGATGATTATAATTATTTTAGGTACATTTCCGTTCAATGTGCATGGAAATCGCTAGACCGAACGTGGACAAGGACCTCTGGCCAGTCGAGTACGGATGGAGCCGTGCCTCACCGATCTCAAGCACGGCAGAACCGTGGGATCGATCTGGTTTTGAAGTGAACTATGGTGTGCCTTCCGTCGCGCTGACGCAATATCTCCGGGGCTTTCTGATCTAAGTACGCCTCGATCGCGCGTCCATTGCATTTCCCATTCTCAGCTTCTACAACGCTGTCGCATCTCGTGCCTGAATAAGGATTAAGAATTGAAATCAACAAGGACTGCTCGGCCTGAAGATAACTTGGACATCCATCCATGGGAGACCCCATTTCGATTTGAGCAGTATCACCACAAAACTGAGAAGACCCACCTCTGAATCGGCATCCGTTCAAATTATTGAGAGCTTCCGTGAGGTAGAGGCAGGCCCTCTCGTGAGAACAAGCGACTCCAAGACGACCAGCCTGCCGCCGTTCGGGTAGAAATCGATGTCACCGTGGGCACCGTTGTACCCTACACTGCCTGGGTGCGGAAACGTCGTTGAACTCGGAGAAGTCCGGTATTTTATTTTCGAAGGTTTTCCTCAGTAACGCGGACTCACCAAGCAAAACGATGAACTCCATCGAACTGTATAACGCTCCCACAAAATCGGCGTTCCCCCGTTGCGGGGAGACTCCGATTGTCTCGAAGTTCGGTCCGCTGCGTCGAGGGACGTGATCCGGCCGATTTCACACCCGGTTTTCTCAGCGAAGGCTCGAGCGTAGGAACCAGCCATCTGGGCTCCAAGGGAGAAACCGATGAAGTACATATATTCAGCCTTGATTCCCGGATGGAGCATCATGAGATTCCGCGCGAGAGCCATCGTCATGGTGGCGATCACCGCAACATTGGCCGATGCTTGATGGTAGCCCGGAGTGCTGAAAGGAAAGGAACACGGTTTCGATAAGAATTCCGTTCAGAGGTGCGTATTCAATGCTTTCTGGAGGAAAGTTACTTCGCGCCCTCTTTCCAATCGATGATCATTAGCGCCTGGATAAGCTCTTTGAGATTCCACATCCACGGCTTTTGGCCAGACTCACAGAAACCATGGGCTACGAAAATGAGGTTTCGCTCTGGTTCGAAATGACCTGCCGTCTTGAAGAGCAAATCGCCACTTTCCTCATCCCATCGTAGGCGAACCTTCTAGGGGAGAGATGTGGGTGAGTTGGGAAGCCTTGTTTAGTAGCTTTTCTTGAACGAATTCCATATTTCGGAATACCAGCTGTGCGTCGGAGAACTTCCTTCTTCCTCGCTCGGACCCCGGGTATAAGTATGTAGGAGCGATCGCCTCTGGGTCCCTGGGGAGCTCCTCCCCGATACTATCGTTGAAGCAGCCTGAAGGAAAGGTTATTCGTTATTCATGTCGAAATCCTTGCGGCTCGATCGAGCAATATCATTTGCGGCATTATGATGGCATCATGATGAATATGATATGTTATGATTATGATTGTCAGCGGCTGACTCCGATTCAGGCATGTCGACATCGACGATAGCGATAAGAGAGTAAGAGTGAGACAGACCGACGCCGACGTCAGTATACACAACCCTTTCAGTTCGTAGAGACTTCTTCGACCAACGAGACGTCTTATGCTTGATATCCGATAGCCCAACAGAAGTTTACTACAAATCGGAAGTGGGGTAGTCAAGCGTACGTTGCGTTACCCTCGGAGAAGGAAACGATGGAACCACAAGCGATGGCGCATCTCACCAAGATGCTCGCAGAAGCGATCAGCAAGAGCTTCGGAGAGTTACAGACCGCCGACGAAGGAAATAAGTCTACCCTGATGTTGGTGGAACGACCGGTGGACGCCTCGCGTTCTGTAGATCGATTTCATGAAGAAACAGGGCAGGTAGCGGACGATTGGCTGAGTCATGCGAAGTTTGCAAAACAGATAGGGAAATGGTCGATCGATGTCACGAGGAGCGTGATACTCAAGAAGACGGCGGGGCCAGCGAGGATATGGCATCGAAACAACGGATTGGATCTGGAAACCTCCGAGGAATGGGAAGAATAATTCAGAGCGGCGTATATACCGAGGAGAACGCAAGCGATGCTATTGGACCATATGTCACGCTGCGAGCAGCAGCGCAGTGAGGGTCTGGAGTTTTTTTTTCCCGCAGTGTGGAGAACATTACGAAGCAGCGTAAATTGGACGATGAGGTGACGGAGGATTATATTCTCCGCGGGTTGAATTCGGAATACGCGGAGTATGTGTTTCATGAGATCCGAGGACGACAACACACCGATGTTCCAGAACTGGTGAGGGATATCTCCGACATCATGATGTTCAATCAAATGCGAAGGGGGCGTCCGGTGAATTCGTATAGCTCTCGAACTCATCTCAGACAGGATCGACGACGTCGATGGTGTGTTTTCACTGTAACCTCGAGGGGAATAGAGCCGCGGATTGTGGATCGGACACGCTAACAACGCGATGCGAAGATCGGCGTTTCGGTGCGCGACCTAAATCCAGACGGCCATCCGAGGAAAGTCGCAACCAGCCTCATGATTCACAGGCCAGGAAAGCGACCGTACGAGCGAGCGGCTCGACAGCGACCAGTGGTTCAGGAACGCAGGATGGTCAGCCGGGAACGTCAATATCCGACTCTCGGCGCCATTTTCAGAGCAGGGGAAGACCAGATATTACAGATATTACCTATCAAGTGTTGAAACCCTGGTCATTTCGCATCGAACTGCGAGGGTCGAGAAGTCAGGCAACTGGTCAGGGTGGCCGCGGATGCAAGTTTGCACGAGTCCACTGTCGCGGGACTGAAGGAAGTCGCTATAAACGGGAGACCCTGGACGGCTCGCGTCGATACGGGGGCAGACTTGACAGTTGTCAATGAGACGGCCGCAAACCTGATGGGAAGCACAGAGCATGGAGTCCCCCGAGAATCAAGTCCGGAAATCATCGAACTCCTATCCACATCCACAGAGCATGGAGTCTCCCGAGAATCAAGTCCGGAAATCATCGGACTCCTATCCAAATCCACAGAGCATGGAGTCTCACGAGATTCAAGTCCGAAAATCATCGGATTATCTCCTGGCTTGAATCATTCACAGCCGATGAGATCGCGATAGAAGAGGCCAATGATGGCTTCGTTTTCACGCACATTTCGGGAGCGCAGACAAAATGTGAAATCAGAGCCTAATCATTGATTAGTAATCAATATCGAACTAATAAGCTCCGAGTCCCGGGAACCGTATGATCATATCGCGAAGACCGGGCGTCACGGATCCCGTGCCCGCGGTGAGTGATTTCTGGTGTACGTCACGAGAATCACAGGGCTTCACGCTGGCACGGTTAGGTGCTTGTTCTTCCAGGGCAATGAGGACGATACGAGACCAAAGTTCGAAAATGTTCGCGAGGAGCAGCGGTTACCGCTCACCATGTAGCGCCGGGAGCTTTCTTTGGGAGAGGATCATCTTCAATCTACCGTTTGGAAAAACAGATCACCAGAAATATATCTAGTGTTTGAAACGCTACGGTGGCGTCTGCTCGCGTTCGTTCTGCAGTGTGCGTAGTGCGTACCCGTACCGAATACGAGAGACATCCCGAACCCAAAGTATGCACGCCAGGTATATTTTCCTTTGATTGAAACTGACCTAGCAGTGTGGTCTCTTCGATTTCAATCCACCCAGGGCTCGAACTTATTACGAGGGAGAGCAATCTGTCCCTCTAGCCCCTGCTTGATGGTTGAAGTTCCAGAACAATGAAGATCTACATCTCGTTCATGTCCCTCGTTGTGGCCGCGGTTGCCGCTGACAGTACCTCGGATTACATGAACTCAGTATTGAAGCTAGCCGGGAACTATCTCGTGTCCTTGGGCCTGGAACCTGCCAGGTGAGTACTCTCTACCCCCCTCCCGCTGTCCGTGGCCTTTGGACTAAAAGCGCCTGCTGCGAGAAAGTGTTCCGTATGGAGTATCAGGAGTATTCGGTTCGTTAAGGAATATTCCATAGTGGGCTGAGCCCTCGCGACGTCGACAGCTTCAGTGCCCGAACATTCCGATCGTTGGAAGACAGTCAGTCGCGGGAGAGGGAGCGAAGCGAGGAAGCATCTGTCCGCGTCATGCCGAGCAATTTTATCGCGATTTCTTCACACACTGACATCTCGATTCGGGGTCGAGTCTCTGGCTCGCCTTCTTTCGAGAGCATTTTCCAACGAAGTTCGAATCTCCCCCCAGGATCCCGACCAATTTCACCTTCACTGCTTGGAATCTCCAAACGGACATCAATAGCATTCACATAAATGGACTCGGCAATCTGACCCCGAAAAAATGCAAGGTATGTCTATCGAGAACGTCTCGATGATGACGAGCATATCGAATTATATCCACGATTCTTCATGTGATCCTTCCGGGGAACTTCCCCTCCCTATGGCGGAAAAATATTTCTCGCTCCGCGGCAAGGAATAATTTTCCTGGACCAATCTTTCTGCGCGTAGCGTAGACTGTTCGGGTGGAGTATGTAGTTACATTCGGCTCGCTGTCAGTCGAGATGGATCCCATGATTCCTCGGCCACAGGAAGGATGTTGTTGAAGGTCAGTCAGAAGATCACGATCAAAGTTCTCTCTTTCAATAATCTCTTTGCTTTCGGCAGCTTCAGAAGCCAAAAGTGGAGTGTGATGTTTCCTTGAAATCTGTGAGTTTCGTCGCTTTCGGACGCTTCAAAGACGCACAGACTTTCGAGGAGCTGAATGTCACTCTGCCCGTGAGAGAAGGCGAGCTTGAAATCGAGGTGAGCCATTCTCACTTGATTTTTGCCAAAGACGGAGAGTGCCACCATCCGCAATAAGGTAGAAATGCTGCAACCTCCACGTAAGAGATTCATTCGAGAGCCTGGATTATTATTCCCAGATCAACACCGGCACCAAAGCATCGAAAGTCAAGTTCGACGATAAACTGAAGTTCGATAAGCTCAAGTTCAGCCGGACTACGGTTAATTCAAAGGCTCTGGATGACACGGCGAAAGCCCTCGACTCGAAACTCACCCCGATTATCACTGAATTCCTGAGCAAGGACTTCTTCGACGTCGTGAAGAATGCTGTCACTCACACTGAGGTCCCGAGCAATTTTTGAGCTGAGCTTCCTCCGGAATGACACATTTTTGACGAGACAGGAACTCGCGCGCTTAGAAAATAAATTCTTGCTCGGATGTAATTCTTCAACTTCTGAGTAGTCATCGTGAGGACCAGCGTAGGAAAGCAGAGGGATGACAGGTCTGACGATGGGAGTAGAGAATAGAGATTGGAGGAACTCAGGTAGCACTAGCGCCCTGCTCTCAGATAAACACCGCGGCTGCATCCTGATTTCATCGTTCGTTTCCCCCCGCTCCATCTTCTCATTGAGGAGTAAAATCGGTCCTCGGTCATTTTTCGGACTCAAGAGGGAATTTTAGCAGAGCTAGACCTAAAAACATCGGGGCGAATGAGCTCTCCGATTCGGAACATCTTCTCACGACTACGGTTTCCACCTTCCTCGATCCCACAGGGTTTCAACCTGACCTGCCGACTTCCGAATGCGCCGTTAGTATGCTGTGTCCTGACGACGCGAATCCCAGTGTGTCATAGCTTTTCCGCGAATAACCTATCGAGCGTAACTTTGTCCCGCGCTTACGCAATCGAAGATATCGATCATCGATCTCGTTCCCTGACCTTCAATCACCCGGTACGGAGGACATCTTTGATCCACCGAACAGTGCTCTCCGATTGTGCTACCGGGAACATCTCAAGATTCGGATGATCTTGGGGAGTTGAGGCTCTGGAGCGAGCTTTCCGATGAGGGCACCTCATGCATTGTCGACCGAGCGAAACCTGCGGATGGTCAAGAGAGAATGGAGGCAATCGCAAGAGTCCCAGGTCTCGATTTTGCGCTCAAACATCGGCCGCTGGGCCATGATGTCAGCTTATGTGCACCTGTCAAGTCAAGTATGAGGACTGCTTCCGGTAAGCATTTAAGTCGCGGATCTCCAGCGAGCAGTGGCTGAAGAAGAAGCAGCATTGCAGCCTTCACACCATCTCCTCGTTCGTCCCGGATAAAGGGTATTTTTCATCCCGCAATCTACTGCTGACAGATAAAGATTGTCCCGGTCGACGGGAAGGTTCATTCGCGGCCGGGCTACTTGTAGCCATGCAAGCGATGATCTCCTTCGCAAGAAGTGGCCACTCGAATAGATCGCTCCTAGGAACCAGAGCTGTTCCCACAGATTCTGTGAATTCAGCAGGTGACGGGTCCTGTGTATACGACACATCGAGACGATACTGTCCTCGTCGGTCTTATTCACCCGAGCTCATCGCAGACGGCGCGAAGATCCGATTGGAGTCGAGAGGATGACAGATGGAGCAATGCTTCGGCGAACGGAGACCTGATAACTCGAAGCGATGCATCGAGAACTTCTCCGCGGTCTTGGATCACGGCGGCGGCCATGAGGTGGAGAGCTGATCGAGGAAGAGCGTCGCGCCCATCGAACGTGGAGACGGACAAGATCGACATCACTCATATACTTTTATTTCATTCGAGTCGTCTTGGGGATCGAGGGGAATCCGATCGGGTCCTCCTCTATCCCACGGGCGGCACCCTTAGAAGTGATCTCCTTGGAGTTTGGCGAGGAAGACGACACTCCATACTCACCAGTATCTTTCGCCACAATACTCGAAGTTCACTCCTACGTGCGACTGATCGCTACGGAATCGATGAGAGATCCCGTGTCTCTCGGGCTGAACTCAAGAGGACAGGATTCCTTTCTCTCTTAGCTTGCAGTCGGCTCCCGTATTCCTCGGACGAGCTCCGTCGCTGTGTGAAAGATTGAGTCGGAAAAATATGCGATGGATCCAATTATCGATGGATTCAACTTCGCTGCTCCCTGCCTCTCAGCACTATCCCATCTCAAAGGGAGAGCCATACCCGAAGGAATCTGCTTCGTTTTCTGCTCGAAGAGCTAGGATTCCTTTCCCAGAGATGGGTATTGTGGGCAGCTCGAGTCTTTCAGCAACCCGGCAGCCTACTCACCTTTGTGAGCAGCTATAAGAGACTCTTTGTCAGTTGATTCAATCGTACTCTGGCAGTGGTCTCGCATGATTAGTGACCGTGGAGCGAGAGCTTTGCGGTGCTCGCGAGCGGGTTGATTGTACTCCGGGGGCTTCCCGATCCGAAAAGCTGAGGACGGATGTTCCCCTCGGAGAGCTTCACCGATACGGTAGAACTCGAATACCATTTTTCTCTGAATCGCGGTCCCTAATTTCCCGGCACAACAATCTATGAGGATCCAGTCCGAAAACCCTAGTACTTGAGAGCGTCGATTCGGAAACTACAAACGCTTCCATGTTTACTTCCGTTAGCGCGAGTGTTTAAGTTTTCGACTCAAAGTGTGAATCGACCGCAGAATTCGCACATCCGCCGATCAACGGCAGAAAGTTTAATTGGCATGTTCGTTCGAGTGAGGAGCCGCCCGCCACGGACCTGACAGGAGGCAGAGTTGTCCAGGTCGTGCTGATCTTTCAAAACGAACGCATATTCATCCTCCATGCGCTCTTGCTCACTTTCTTCCCATCACTCCCTCACTCGCTCCGCCGGCTCAACGTTCGACGATCAACGTCAGTTGCTCGCTCAGTCGATCGCTCGCTTGCTCCCCTACTCACTCGCTCACTGAACAGAGAGATCTTAAGCAGAGAGGAAGAGGGCTTCGTAGACGGTGGTGTGCTGTGTTCAGTGGAGAGCGCTCCAGCCATCAGCAGACAGACGGATCTCACGGATCGCCGCTTTGACCAGCGCCGAAGGTGCGCGTGATAATTCACTGTTCCGAGTTAGAGTTAGGACTGTGGAGGAAAACCAAGTGACTGTTGTTGGTGGTGCCCTTCATCGAAACTTCTGACAAGCTTATCAGGATTCACGCGCAGGAAAGCGGACCGGGAAACGGACCAGGAAGCGGAGGGAATAGAGGGAAACAATTTTCAAGGTGAAGCTAAAACACCAGCACCTTGACAGCTCAACATGCCGAGCCAACGGGGGAGTCTGATAGCCGGGCAGACGGAGCCTGCTTACAGATTTCAGCCGGTCGATCAACGGTGAGTATATCTGATCATTCTCCCTTTTCTTTCGGCGCTCGATCCCAGCCCTCCATACTCGCCGCGGTTTCCTCTATCAGCCTACCGGCACCATATGATCTGTCAGCGGTGCGTAAATGCAAATTGGGAGTCGGCTTGTTCCGAGCGAAGAACTCTCTGTCGTTCGTCAATCTGAATCCCATTGAATAATTCTCCGGTTTTTACTTCATTAAATCATTTGAGCTAGGGTCGGTATCGTCAGAATCCACCGACACTATCAAAATCCATGATATTCTGTCTGGGTCTAACATATGTTATTCTAAAACATTTGTTCCGTCATCCGCGCAGCAAAGGGTATGTTACGGTTGGGTTTTCTGTATTATTTGAAGCCTCTGAGAATCCTTCCTCGAAAATCAGAATGTCTTCCTGGAAATTAAAAAACCGTGCTCACCAGAGGTGCTTCCTGAAGCATTCCAGTCGGTGCGAATCATGCCGCGAGAACGATGTTTCACGCTTGCTGAGCGGTCAATTGGTTTCATTGATGCCAATTTGTTGAAAGTTTCCCTTAAGAAGTTCACTCGTTGTTGCTCTCGACAACCAGGAGGACAACTCTTTGTCTTTGCTCGTGCTTGACCGATGCGGGATATGTCGAACGCGCCGCTTCGAGTTTATGGAAGAATATCCGTCGGTCCGATTCGAATTCTCAATTATTCGTAGACGTGAACTTCGATACTTATTCAGTGATTGATGGAATGATCGATCCGCCTTGTCTCGATTTGCTCCTCGTTTGCAATTTTATCGTGATCCCGGGTCATGATCCCATCAAGGTGACACTTTTCTCGAACTGTAGAACTAGGACACAAACGATTTCGTGCGCTCAGAACCCTGCCGACCCTACTGGAACGGTGGCCGATGAATCGTCGAGTCGCTTTGAGGGTTCGGAGCGAAATTGTACCGGCCATTGATTGATCTATCAATTCATAGATGACCGCTAGCGGATTTTCTGTGACTTGTTTCTGCGTACCACTTCGATTCGCGTTCCAAGCCATGCGCAGTTCTGAATGGTTCTATCGCTCGACCAATGCTATAATTTAATCCGTCTTCCGCCCGTGGTGCCATCGTTGACGCTCAGAAACGTGCGCTGGTGAGCGGGCGAGATTGTTTTGCTATGAGAGAAGTCTGACTTGATCAACATTTGAACCAGGTCTCGAGGCTTCTATCCTCTCCGGAACCGGGGAGCAGCTTCTCGAGAGCGACAGTAAACAATATAAATGCCATATTTACGATTTTCAGTTTTTGGTCCTGTTTTTCGATGCTCCGTTCGATAGGTGAGAGACGTCCGAGGATGGGATCTGTTTTCCAGTGATTTAGAATGTTGGCTTGTTGTACCCTATACCGGGATATGTCTTCCTCAAAGTGAGAGGACTGCCTGACGGAACGCGTCGTTTATTCGCTAGTCCCGACTGTCTTCGGCGCCTATCTTTATGGAGCCAACCAGATGTGAACGAAATGCATCCGCAGTTGTTCCTACACGCGCCACTTAATGGAATGCGTGGAAAGAATTGCCGTACCGCTATAAAATTTCGGATGAGACCCGAGGAAATGTCAGTGTTCGAGATGGTATCCGACCCCAGGCGTTGGCCGTGATCAGTAATCACTTGATCACCTAGCCATATCAGCGGTAGATATCGTACGTTCACAACTCAAAGGTCCACTCTCTCCCGCGCATCGGAGTCTGCGGAACTCCTCGATCGATTTCGAGGGCAGTTCTCGCGCAGGAAAGGTAGTGCATTTTTTGAGCGAATCGCACGATGAAGTGACCCGTGACCTGACTCTAAGAATCTGCCGCTCTTGAAACTGAGCGATTGCAGGTGCTTCTGATCTTCAATCGCATAGTCAATGGATATTTTTTCCGAAAACGTCTCTTGGAAATTGAACCCCTCTGTCGGCGGCTTTGACGAACCTAGTATCATCATCCTAATCAAAGGTTCCACCGACGCGAACCGAATCTTTTTCGAGTAGCTCCATCAGGAAACGCTTCATATGTGTCAAGGATTCCTGATTCCCTCATCCCCCAAGAGCTCTCACACATTAATATCTAACATCCCTAACTAATGCTTAATTACG